GCTCACGGCGCTGCCCGCGGGCGGCGGGAGCCTCCGTGGCACCGGCGCCGGGGCTGCCGCGAGCGCCGGGCGCAGCCGCTCGCTGGCACCGCTCGTGGCGGCGGCTGCTCTGCTGGCGCGTTATGTGAGCCTTCGCSGAGGCCTCCTGAACAGAACAACATGATGAAACATGTAATTAAGATGGAGCTAAGGATGCATGACGAGGCCGACTGAGCGAGAAATGGATTTGATTTTTTTTTTTTGTCTCCTTGCAGAAATCATCCACTTCAGCAGGGAACTACCCATTCTGATTTTTAAAAGCCTGAATTAAAAATAAATTGCTCGATATAAATGAAAAGGTTTATAACCTGCAACCTCCTTTACCCAAAGCATTGCTTTTCACCTGGAATAAACACATCCCGTATGATATAYAGTGCTTTCTCCTAAACCCCTCTGTGCCAAAAATGTAAGGGCAACACAACAGTGCCTCCCACCCATCAAGTAAGCAGGAGAAGGGGGCAGGCCCATCCTTTTGTTCGCATCTGCCCCCTCTCAGATCTCCCYGCTGGCTTGGCAGGGCTCTGCTCCTCTCTGTGGTACATTCCCCAGAGCTTTGCTTTGTTTAGTTTAAATGATTCATGCAGGAGAGCTTAGAGGTTTTCCTCAGAGAGGTTTTTCCAGCCCTTATAGACCTCACAGTCAGAGAGGTTTGCTAATATTCCTCCTCTGCTCACTTTCATTCTGTTTTTCCTCACTTGTCCCACAGAGCATTTGGGAAAAAAAATCCTTTCTTTCTTAGTGGAGCAGCCCTCCTCAGGGAGGAAAAGGAGAGAAAAAGAATCCATTTTCAAGGGAGCTGGATGGGTTGTAAATAAGATTAGAGGTCATGGCTACTTGAGGTAGCTGAAGCTGGGGCCAGACGCTTCAGGAGAGGCCCTCCAATCCCATTACCTGTGGCACTGCTGCCACGGGGTTCCGGGGGTCGGAATGGCCGCTGTCCCCCAGGCTGGGGAATGGAAAAAGGAGATTGTCTGGATTCCAAGCGATGAAAAGGGAAACGCTCCAAAACAGAGACTCCCTTCCCTCTCCTGTAGTCCTTGGACTTCAGTGGYCCAAGACACTGACACCGGTGAAGGTTGCAGTCCTGCTAAGTGTCTCAGTGCTACTAAAACTCTGGAGAAATGAGCAGCAGTTTTAAACAGCTTRGGTTGTTGAGGGAGAACATCTCTCCCTGCCCTGTCCCTGAGCCATCATTCTCCAGCTGGGAAGGATGTGTCCTGGAGGCACTGCACCGTGTGAAGTGGGGCTGGGACACATCTCTTCCTTCCTGGCCTTGGGAGAGCCCTCTATGTTCCCCTGGAGCCCTCGCTGGCCCTGCACTTGCCACTTGGCCTGACAGGCTCTGGGGCCACCAGTGTGATGGGGATGGAGACCTGCAATGTGGGCAGTCCTGCAGCTGAGCAGGGCACAGCACAGGATCAAAGCCATTAGTACTAGGCCCGTATACCAGTATTGCTTATGTTTCAAATACTGATATTATATTAGCTTGTCTGCGCCACGGCAGGTCAAGGAGATGAAGGGCTGTACAGTGATGCGAACACAAGGGATGCAGGGCGAGTTTCATACTCACGTCATAGATGGGAGTAGCTGGAGCGGGGCTGGGTGAAGGGGGTTGAGCTTCCACATTGTGCCTCAAGATATTGAGGAGCCGGTTCCTTCCAGGACACAGTACCTGCTCGGGACAAGACACCAAAGGACAGATTTGGAGAAAATCACCATCTCCCCAAAGGTGGAATGAATGTCAGTGTGACAGGAGACCCGGCCATGCACAGCAGTGACGTAGGAGTAAAGCAGCCCTCTGTGCAGAGTACGACGGGGAATGCACAGAGGCAAAATGCAGTCCCTTTGCTCAGGACCTSTCTAGGAAGCTGCTGCTGCTGCCCTGAGTAGAGAAGAGCACAACATGAGCATTAATGGCAACATACAGGCCATGGCACTCTCACATGCAAGTCCAACATGGAGKTGAAGGTCTTTTCCCCTGCAACGTTTCTTGCATCAGATGAGTTTTCCCCAAACATGCTCCAGTCACACCTGAGTAAGGATAAGCCCTGCACAGCAAGCAGAACAGGCAGGCAAGGCAGAAGGCTGTTCTAAGCATCTTTGTTCTAATTCAGAAAAGAAGTGGGATGATTATATTCACATCACATGAAAACGACAAACTGCTTTCCAGTCCATTAGTAACTAAGGAGGATGCTAAATAACTTCTCTTAAAGATAAACATTTTAAAATCAGCAGGTCTGAGCAAGCTGTGGTGAGAAATATGTGCTCTGTTCTGCAGGGGGGGAAATGTAATGACTGCAATGACTCTCCAGGCCCCAAAGAGAGCCCGGCGGTCTGAGCCTTGCTGGGGCACCTCCAAACCTAGCAGTGTCAGGCAGCAAGTCGTGACAGGGCCTCCCTCCTCATCCCCATGGAGATGCTCTCTAGGCAAGCAGAGACGGGGCTTGTTTCCAACGGAGTCGCCCTGCTGCTTGCGCTGCCTCCCGCTGCCGCGAAGYGCCCGCAAGGCGAGCGGGGTCTTGCGAGGAGCGTCCCGGCAAGGCTGCCAGCTCTGCTCTCGGCGGAGTGCCTCTGGAGCCAGGGCACTGCCCCACGAACGAGGCCCCACGTATAAATACCAGCAGCAGGGTTGCTGCTGTGCTGGCAGAGAGCAGCTTGAGTAAGTAGTGTGGATACGATAGCTAGAAAACAAAATCCCCAAGTTCAGCTCTAAAAGACATTGGGTTTATTTTAAGCCAGTCTTGAGATYTCTGTGAGGGCGCAAAGGATGCTCTATTGAAAGCTTGGTGCAGCACGAGAAGCAATAGGTTTTGCCCAGGCAACAGGAATTGTTGGAACAGTGTCACTACTTCTAATTTATTTCCACGGGGCCTTGTCTCATACCAACCTTYCAGCCCCACTCTTGCCTCTTCTCCTGCTCTCCATGTCCTCTCCTCCCAGCTCCGGCTTGTGCTCAGCAATTCGTTCCAAACTCCACAACCTTACCCAGCTGGTCCCAGTCTGTGCTGCTGGTCTGCTCCCCTGCGGATCCTTCTCCCTCCAGTCTTAACACCCTTGTCCAAGATCTAGTGCTCTCCAGGCTCAAAGAATCACAGATTCCCTGAGGTTGGAGGCACCTCTGGCGGTCATGTAGTCCTACCCCTCGCTCAAAGCAGAGTCAACATGAACAGGTTGCTCCTCAGGCCCTTGTCTCACTCTTACTTTCCAGTTAGTTRGGGTCCCTATGCAGGCTGCACTGGGATCCTTTTCTCAACCTTCCTCTCCCAGCCTGTCTCTTAATGCTTCCTGCGACCAACACCTGTCCAAGGGTCTAGTGACCATCTTCTCCACCCGTTGGCCTGGTTTCCCTTGTGGTACCCAAGCCACGATGCAGAAAGGCGCTGCACAGCCTCACTGCAAACAGGTCGTGTCACTGGCACTGGTGCAACCCCCATCTCCAAGAAGGATTAAGTAGAGGGAAAATCCCRTCCTTCCCTTATCCCCACCAGCGCCGCCACACACTTGGGCAGCAGGGAGGCAGCACACAGCGGCGCTGCCCGAGGGGCAGGTGCCACAGCCGAGGACGCGCGGGCTGCGCACGGCGCGGCTGCTGCACCGGCGCCGGGCCAGCGCGGAGCCCGTGCGGTCGCTTGTCCTGCTTCAAATTCTTGCTCCTAAACAGAGCACGGCAGAGCCAAAATGCTTACTGGAGTTTTTTCAAAGGGACAAATCAATGTCTTGTTTTGCCTTTCGGTAATCTTCTTTTCTCAGAAAGACTTAACTTAAAAAAAAAAGAAAATAAACTTGAGGGAGACACCCAGCATGGAAAATTTCAGCGTGGGGAGTTCCAATTTGGACAAGTTAGAAGCAAGTGAAATAATAAATTCCTAGAAAAGGTCACGTGAGATATTGCCTTTCATTTGGTAGTGACTTGCCTTTCTTTTCCACAGTAGCAGACCTGTTCCAGTGATGCTCAAGGCAGCAAAGATAGCGGTAAATGTAATGAGAATTTCCCACCTGTAAGAGGTCTGTATGTAACCTGCATCTGTGGGAAACAAAAAAGGCAAAAGATTCATAGCATAAGTGGAAGTAAGTTGCATTTTTAATTCTGTCTAGAAGTCATACGATAAAATACAGAACCAGTGAAGAGGAGGTGACCACAAATGCACACATGCCTCAAAACAAAAACAGAGTCTGACTGAACTAGAGAGTAGGGAGCAGATGGAGAATCACACGAAGGAGACAGGGTATTAGCAGCTACCCTTTTTTTAGCTTTTTTTGCAGCTACACTCCATGTATCAGTTTAAAGGGAGGTGAAGTGAATATGGGAGCCAAAAATGGTGGTGGTGAGAGCCTGGCAAAGGTGACAGGGGGCAAAAACASATGGTGGAGAGTAGAGGCCACACGCTCAGGCCGGGTGGGTACTGCCAGCAGCCCCTGACCAGTGTGGCAAAGCCCTTTGGTCACAGCTTTTCACATCTACCCTTGCTAAGAAGTCCAGACCACACTGTGGTCTGCCAGGACACTGCCACTAAAAGCACCCTATGAACCTGGGCCCAGGGTCCCTGCTTAGACCCTGGGTTTCAGGCTGGTGTTCCCAACAGGCCGTTTCAGGGCAGATACAACTACTGCACCTTTATACCCCCACCTGTAAAGCGGGAATTGTGGCACAGGGACTCAGTGTAGAGCCCGTGATCTCTGCTGGCATTAAGCACCAGACACTATTACTGCTCCCACCGGACTTGAAAGCTTGTTTGGGCGGAGGAAAAGAAGAGCAAACATGATGTTTCCCTAGCAAGATCCAGTTGAATTTTAACCATTCATCCTTCCTTTCTCTTTTTTTTTTTTTCACTTACCTGTAGCAAGGACAAATACTCCCGCTCCAGTTTTCACGATGTCACTCCATTTGACCTCACAGTAATACGTGCCAGTGAAAGAGGTGCTTTCAAGCGGTCTGGTTTCTTGGCTGTAAGATCGGGTAGTGGTGTGATTTTCTTCTCCAGGAGGGATGGGGATCTCTAATAGCTTTTTATCGATGAATGTTTTCTTGCCCACTGAGTTAATCCAGTAATAGAAGATGGAAAATTTGGTGTATTTCATCTTGTAAGGGAAGGTCACCTCGCAGGGGATGGATATTGCTTCCCTGAGCAGCGCAACCCGGATTGGAGGTCTCTGCTGTACGCTGACCTCTCCCCCTGCAAGGGTGATAATTGTTAGCAGCCACCTGGCATCACTGTAAGTCAGATCAAACTTTTATTGTCCCAAAGCCCCCAGCAGCAATCACATGGTAAATACAAGCATATGCTCAAGAGCCAGCACCCACTCCGCAGCATGTGGCGTTGGCCCTCGTCAGAGCATGAGTGATGCAGAGCACATGGCCCGTGTGATCTGTCCCAGCTCTTGGGTAATGGCTGTGTGAGCTGAGCTCCTCTGCTGCAAGCACAGGCTTCCCCTTTTTCCCCGTGAGCTCCTCTGTACAATATAGAAAGACCAGAAGGGCAGCTGGAAGCGGGCAGACTCTGCAGTGACTACATTTGCAGCTGGTGAGGCTGGAAAGAGATTTTCCAGGGCAAACGCTAGCTGGCCCCTCTCTGTAACGGGGCCGCTGCTGGGGTCATGTGCCCGCACGGGCGGCCGCTCCGAGCGAGCGCAGGTCTGGGGTGCACGGCGGGGGTATCCGTGGGGCCGCGTGTCTCTGAAGCGCAAGCGAGGAAGGAAATTGCATGTTCTGCAGCGGGGCCAGCGCCGAGACTCGGAGAATAGGGTACAGCTCAGCCACCTCAAACTTCTGCTGCTCTAAATGGACAGCAAGGCGAAAGACCAGATGCCACATGCAGCAGCAATCCGCAGAGGGCCACAGGTTTCAAGTACCTATGTGTGACTAACCCTGGGCAGAGACGGGAGATCGTGCCCTCCGGCTGCTTCCTGCTTACACAGTTGAGCTGAATCTATCACTGCAGCTCAGCAGACAGCAATGCAGGCAGTTGCAAGAGAGGMTGAAGAAGCATTGAAGGGGAACCCCATAATTCACTCTCTATTTCATTTACTAAAAGGAAAAAAACAGCTAAGAGTGTGTCACTGGCTAGAGAGGAGCCTGAGGTGTCGCAGCCAAATCTGTGTTTAGCACTATTCAGCTTCTGGATCTATGTATTTAGCAGCTGGCCTAACACCACGTAGAAAGCAACTCAAGAGGCAGTGTACCCAAAGCAGTGGAACAACAGAGGGAGGGCACAGCCACTGTCCAGAAAGCACTTCAGGAAAGTAACACCAGTTAAGTCAAAACCCCTGCAGATGGCACAGCCAGGGAGGGCAGCCTCTGAGTAAAGCACTAGTCCAGGTTCTATCACTAGGAAAGGACTCTTAGCTAGCAAAGCAATGGACCTACAACACAGTGCTAAGAGACAGGTGTGCTCACTGTGAATGCACTCCCATGCAGATTGGGGACTGTATAAATGAAAATAAAGTAGCAGAGCCCTGCCAACACTGTCGGTGTGATAACCCAGGTTGTCTCTTTTCACAGAATCACAGACTGGCTGAGGTTGGAAGGGACCTCTAGAGATCATCTAGTCCAACCCCCTGCTCCAGCAGGGACACCCAGAGCACGGGGCACAGGGCGGCATCCAGGCGGGTTTGGAAGATCTCCAGAGAAGGAGACTCCACAGCCTCCCTGGGCAGCCTGTGCCAGGGCTCTGGCACCCTCACAGGAAAGAAGCTGTTCTTTGGGGCCTTGTTTTCTCAGATATGATCATGTGTCCTTCTCTTTCTCATCTCCACCCAGCAGCACATACACGAAAATATGAATATAGCTTTTTATATATATATATATCTCAGGCATTGCAAAGCACTGAAGTAAGAAAGCAGGGGAGAGATCTATCTTCTTACGGTATCCCAGGAGCTTGGGAAGAACATGGCAGGGAAAAAGCCAAACCATTTCACTCGGGTTATATAACCCTTCTCCCSCGTTCCCCCTTTTCTGAGGATTCTCTCTGGAAACTTTGAAATGCTTAGAAGACAGAAATAGCAGCAGTGTGCAAACTCCTAGAGGGGCTCTCTGGAAATTAGCAAAAGAAAGCAGCTGGAAACGCTCTAATATGCACAAATGTGAGAGTAAACAAAAGGAATAAAAAATGCTTCTTTACCTCCGTACCGAAGCCACCAAAGAAACAGGAAGATGACTTTTAGATTAGAGGCCATGATAGGGTCACAGGCAGTAAGAGAACGACCAGATATAAAGATCCAAAAAGAAAAAAAAAAAAAAAAAAAAAAAAAAAAAAAGAAGGTTTTTGTCAGGTATTTCCGCAAGCGCGAAGCTGTTTGATCCGCTCCTGTTTGTAACGGGCCGGGCGGATTGGACACCCGCTGCTTTTGGCAAGCGGTCGCTGGCAGATGCAGCCTCTTCTGCTTTTCTGCGAGACTCCTCCCCGCGCCGGGCTTCATCTCTCCGAGCTGCTGTGTCCGTGTTGCACCTACCCGCGGGCGGCCGGGGAGGAGGAGATGGGAGCTCCTCAGCGCACTGAGCTTCGTCTTCCAGCGCCTGGGAAACGTCACATGTGCTTAAAGCCAACGTTGTGGCCTCGCGCCGCGACTGCCGCCCTCCAAGATGGCACAGGGCGGGAAGAAATGTGCTCGGACTGATGGAGTTTGCTCATGAGGCCATTTGAGATGAACAAGGTCAAAGGCACTCACTGATTCCACTGAGTTTGGACAGCAGATAAGCTTAAAAGTGGTATATTGGGCATTTTTCACCCAGCTTTGCGCCCAGCTTTGTTTTCCTAGTTGTTATGGGACAGCAATTCCTGATTAGGTCCCTGAATGGACCATCTAAATTTTGGAATAAGAACCTTACTTCAAACTATCTCACCTGAGTGGTTTGTTTACAAGTGGAAGCTCCTGAGCAGTCCTGCAGCGTGTGGGCTCATGGCAGAACAGTCCCATCAAACTGGCTCTTCATGCGAGTACTCAAGAGCAGGATCCCCTGTCCTGCCTGCAAAACGGAGAACCAGCACCTGCCGTTCAGAGGAACGGTCCTGCTCTACCTCTTACAGCAGAAAACGTCTCTCCACAGCCAACTCCTCCTCTGGATCACTTGGGAGGAAGGGGCTCATATTCCAGGGCTGAGAGCACCCACGCAGGGAATTCGCCCATAACAGCTGCAATGTTTCGGATTTGTGCCACGCTTTGCACTGCCCGCAAGCCCTAAAGAGGTCTATTGTGGGGACATGTAAGGAGAGCCCTTTGAAGAAGAAAGCCCTCTCTTTGCGGGATGATCCTACCGCTTACGGAGAGGTTTTGATTTCAGAGAAAGCCTGTTCTTAGCTGAGACATCTGCATTGTAACAGCTGAGCAGTGTCTAATTCAGAAAAACAACRCTCATATCAGAGAGGTCTTCTCTCCAGCTTTCTCCTTTCAAAATCACCGCCTCCGTTGAGTTGTTTTATCACTGGAGTGCCTGTATGAGCAAGGTTTGCAACAASCAGCCCTTGGCTCCCAGCATCTTTCCTGCTCCCCAGCCTAGGCCGAGCCCTCGGGAGGAACAGGTCCCTGGTGCAGGGGGCAGCGCCCATCTGCGGCCGCTGYGGCCCCTGCGCCCCGAGACGGCCCCGCTACCTTGCTGAGAGCCCCAGCAGATGGGGAGAGGCGCAAGCGGCTCCGTGCAGCCCCACGGGGCCGTGGCAGCAGCTGCGCCCCCCCGGGGAAGGCTTAGCTCAGATTAGCCAGAACGAAYGGCTCTCCCCCAGACGTGCTGATGGGAGCTGCACGGCCTGGGTCTCAGCTGGAAACGGCTCCTCGCCCGTCTTAAGGCTGAGCAGCAGGACAAGCAAGAGCGGTAACAAGACACTTGGGGCCCACTTGGTATTTGAGATCTGTAGGCGCAGATCAGGTGGCGGTGGCGCCGGGGGCTGCGGGGTCACGATGCYGCTCGGCAGCATCTCTGAGGCCTGAGCTGCATCTCAGGATACCCGGGGGAGGGAGGGGAAAGCGGCAGGGCTCCGTATCCTCCCACAGAAGAGCAGCGAGGGCTTCCTGAGCCCTAACACCACCTGCATCCCGTGGCACCGCGCGGCTTTGCAACGTCCAGCACTGATGTATTTCCAGTGCTGCTCCTGTCACTGATGTGTTTCAACTGTTATCGGCATTTATCTGCTTCAGGAATTCGGAGTGATAAGTGGATTAAGTGCGGTAGGTTTGGAGGGCTGTTAGGTCAACATCCTCTTTCTGTCCTTTCCCTCCTCTTCCTATAAACAAACCCATTGCCATTCTAAATGCCAAGGCCTAGAAATACCACTGCTTGGAATTAAGAAAATACATAGATCTAGCATTTCAAAAGAGATCACACATAAGACTCAGCTGTGGGATTAGATGCACACCAGGCCAGAAATACATTCACTGCTGGAATTTGCTATGGTAGAGCCTGCTGAAAAGAAATGGCTTTGAAATGACTACCCAGCAGCTATTTAACTGCAAGACAGGATGACATTCTGTTCCTCAGAGCCCAGAAAGCGCCTGAATCTTTTAATGTTAAATCCTAATTCAATTTGGTTTGGGAATTTTAGAGAGAGATTTAACCTTAAAGACATAAATGGGAGTTAAGATGAGAAAAACCAGTGGAGTCCAGTAACCAGTGGGGCTCGACTGTCCCTTTCCGAAACTTTGGTGGAACTTAGCAAGGACACATGTGCCAAAGGGTATAAATTACAAAGGTGATAGAGGAGAGGCTGCTTTATGACCTTCAGCCATAGAGACAGGGTATGGCCCCGTGTGCCACTGGGCCCCATGCACGATGTGCAGGGAATGGCCTGCCCAGCTGTGCCTCGGGCGCAGCACACGCTGGCCGGGCTCTKCACGGCTCCCTCCTTCCTCTGAACGTCGAGCACTTCCCGAGACTAAATATAGGACTGGGCCAGGTGCTAGCAACAGTTTCAGCCTGTCGCTGGAAAGCGGCCATTTATTTCACTCCAGCGCTATTAAAAGCCTGTGATAGTGGCCAGCATTCCCAACCGGGAGGAAAAGCACATTGTTCTGGCATTCAGGAACAACAACAAGTTGGTGCGAGTGCTGAACCGACCAGAATTGCCTGCTCGCAGCTGTGGCCAACGCACACCCACAAGCAAACGCAYCCGCACGCACGTGCCCGCACATGCCCCCCCCAGCCAGCTCCACGGAGAGTGTTTTATTTATCCAAACAAAAAGAGCGCTGCTAGCCAAGGCGAAAGCAGCACTGCGGAGACCACA